TGTCACAACACATTAGCCAATTGTGGTTTGAGTACTTGATTGCATCAATCAATATTTTCATATTCTTGTAGCTTTCTGTCAACTGAACTAAATGTCCAATAGGTACAGATGCCATTTTATTGCCAATGTGTAGGAGTACTGCCTTAGGGCTTCTGCTAGAAGAATCAATAAAAAGCCTCCATTCTCTTGGTAGGTAAGGAACGCCAAGTGCCTCTATTAAGCCTTTTACATAATTGCAATATGCCAAGGAGCTAGAAGACTCAACTTCAAAGAACTTTTGAAACTTTTCTTCTGTTTCTATACCAATAGAAAGTAGTTTCTTTGAAGAGAAGATTGCTCTCACTAAGATCTCTTTAGAAAGACCAAGATCTCTGGTCAGGTCATTCAATTGAATTTGAATGAGTGGTCTTGGCAAAATTATGCTAGAAATTAGCTCATATGTCTCAGATATGTCTGTGACATCTGAAAAAATTCACATATTTATTTTCAGATTTTTATCCACTTTTCTATACAATTTAAAGACTTTTTTATTGTTTCAACACAATTTTTATAAACAATTCAAACTTCATTAGACTATAAAAAAAAAAGTTTGGATTAGTTAAATATTGCCATTTTAAGAAATTATTTTACCTTTAAGATTAGTCATACAAAATAGCAGTCTGTAGTGGGTCCTTGCCTTCTCTCCATACCATCGGTACACCAAATAACATACAGTTTGCTGTGCGCTCATTCCAGCGCCTTTAGGCTACGACAAAAGCTTTGCAGCATATATGTGGGGCAAAGCTTTTGTCTTGATCGCCGAGCCTTATTCCGAAATATGCTCTGTAAAGAGACTTTACTAACTTAGTTATGATGCATTGCTGATCACTGAAAGTTACCTTTCCACACACATAGCGGAATCTGTCAAGACTGTTTTTACATTTTCTATTCATTTTTATGAATTAACTTTTATTTATCTCATGTTAGCCTGTAAAAAAATTGGCATTTATTTGGCAATAATTGAATTGATAAATAAAACTTTATAAATATACTTTATATAATGTTTATAGATATAATTTTATACAACTGTCATCTGAAAATTGCAATAAAATGGACATATACGGTATAGAGCCCTAAGTCTATATCTTAAAAACTAGACCTGATTGAGAAATTTGAATCCTAGATTCAGATTTAGAATGCAAATTTCATTGAGAATCACAGAGGAAAATCCTAGGAACATTGTTGACGCAGCCCTGTGTTATATATCATCTCTCTTTAACATCTTCTCTAAGTTGGTGGAAACCGATTTCAAGAATGTTAAATCAAGCTTGATGCAATTTAAAAGAGCTACTTGGATTCATCAAAGGTGTAAGGATGAGTTCCGTAATGTTAAGAATGTTGGATTCATCGAAGGTGTAAGAATGTTTCCGTAATGCCCTCTGTATTAACCTTGTACTGATATTAACAACCTGCTTGACAGAAAGATCTTTCTTAAACTAAAACTAATCAAAAATAGGTTATGTAACTCAATGCTTCTGGAACAGCTAACCTGACTCTAATGAGTATTGAAAGTGATATCATGAGGGAAATGAACTTTGATGATACATTAATAACTTTGCTAAGCCAAAAGCTAGCAAAGCACATTTATGATTTATTCTTGGTACAATAAATTTGACACTATTAAAATCTGACACTATAGAAAGTTTAACACAATTGCAGAGTGCACTCTATTTCCTAAATAATTTATTGGGTTTAATCAGTAATATACTTATGTTATTATTCTCTAGGTCGGGTAATGCATTATTAGTTATCTTAGAAGGCAAAGGACCCTAAACTAAACTTTGTTCCCACAATGGTAAATCTGGCCCTATATATACATGTATATATATATATATATATATATATATATATATATATATATATATATATATATATATATATATATGCATATATATATATATATCTATATTTATATATATATATATATATATATATATATATATATATATATATATATATATATATATATATATATATATATATATATATATATATATATATATATATATATATTAGGGTGATTCAGATTGTAATAGAAAAAAAAAATTTCACAAAAAACATTCTCCTCAAGGTTGCCTGTGTTCCTTTATCACCTAGGATCATGTGTACCAAAAATTAGACTAAAAGAAGCAATTTTAGGGGTTGCCATGTTTTATAAGATGAATTAACCATTGGTAAAATTTTGTGATTTTCTCAAATTTCGCAAATTTGTTTTTTCATTGTTTATTTATTTATAATTTAGAAATTGATAATATGGCAACCACTAGATCTTCTGCTGAGGTGTGGCTTGTTGGTAAACCTACACAAACTCTGTCGACTGCCAGACTTCCTTCAAGAGGGGATGTTCTTTGGAGGTTGCTCTTCCATCATATAGAAGAGAAACAAGAAGTGAAAAAAAGTATTTGGGCAACAATTGAAGCAGTTCTTGTTATATGGGAGAGAGGAAAAATTCCAACTCAACGAATTGACAATGCGGAAAGAAAGTTAAAAAAACTTTATGACGAATATCTGCTGCTGAAAAAACACCGAGGATCAAAATTGGACAGCTGTCAAATGAAAGAAGGAAATTTCCACGCTGACCTTGAAAAACTTTTTGATATTGCAACCAAGAATGCATCAGAAGTTATGAAAAACGATGAAGATAAAGCATTTTTACGTCAGCAGCAAGAAGATCCATTAAGTTGTAGTATGGCAGGAATTGATCGGAATTTAACAGCTAGGGAGGCACGGAAACGAGTCCGAGAAACTAAAATGGAATTGAGGCGTCAAAGAAGTCAAGCGGAACTGATGGAAAAAACAGAACTCATTTCTTCTTCATCAGCAGTTGACATTGTGAGTGAAAGTAGCTCTAGTTCCTCGGATGATGATGAATATCAGACTCCTTCCGCTTCCAGCACACTGAGCACAAGTGGTTCAACGAAAAAGAAGATGAAAGTTCTAACAAATAATGTTGTATCATCTCTTGATTGTGTTAATATTTCTGATCGCCGTGCACTCTTCGTGGTTGGAACAGTGTCTCAGGCTCTTGGTCACTCAATAAAAGATTTATCATTGTCGTACAGCACAATCCGCAGAAAAAGGCGACCTGTTCGTGAAGCGGTGACTACAGCTGACAAGGTTGATTTCTCTCCTGATGATCCACTTCTTCTGCATTAGGATGGAAAGCTCTTACCTGATATCACTGGTGGTCAAAAAAAAGTGGATAGAATTGCCATCCTTGTGACTGGTGGTGGGGTGGAAAAATTGCTGGGCGTTCCAAAGATTGATTGAGGTACAGGTGAGCAACAGGCTGATGCTTGCATGAAGGCTCTTAAAGACTGGAAATTGAAAGAACTTGTTCGGGGACTGGTTTTTGACACTACTTCATCTAACACTGGGTTGAACATTGGTGCCTGCACAATAATGGAGCAGAATCTTGACCGTAATCTTATATGGATAGCATGCAGGCACCATATGTTTGAAGTCATGCTTTCCACCATTTTCACGACTGCATTTGGAACCAGTGGAGGACCTGAAGTTGGAATTTTTAACCGTTTCCAGAAACAATGGCCAGCAATCAACAAGGAGGTGTTCACTATAGGGAATAAAGAATTTTACAACTGCAATTTTTTTCTCAAACTCCGTGAAGAAATGGTAGTATATTATAGTGAAGCAATTAAAGGTCAACAACCCAGGGATGATTGCTTAGAACTCTTGAATTTGTGCCTTATTTTTCTTGGAGGATCAACTACAACATCGGAGTTCAAAGTGAAGTTTCGGGCTCCAGGTGCAACACACAATGCACATTGGATGGCAAAAGCTATATATTGTATAAAGATATATTTGTTTCAGGATCAATTTGTTATTACTGCAAAGGAAAAGAAAGGAATAACAGATATAAGTCTTTTTGTGGCATTTGTATACGGACAGTTTTGGAATGAAGCTCAGTTAGCTGAACGAGCACCATTCAATGATGCCAAGCTTCTTCAACGGATTCAAGAATATCCAAATCGTACAATTGCAATTAATGCAGCAAAAGCTTTTCATCGCCACCTCTGGTATTTTTCTGAACATCTAATAGGATTGGCTTTTTTCGATTCCCGTGTCGACAACAACACCAAGAGAGACATGGCAAACAACCTGAAACAACAGCCAAGGCAGAAATCTCTCAAAAGACTTGATGCTGCCACATTCGATTGTCACAGCCCATTGCCTTCCTTTGTCACACAACGCACCGCAGAACTTTTCGATCTAATTTTGAAAAATGGAAAAGAAAAAGCTGAATCATTTTTAATGAAAGAATCTTCAGAGTGAGAAATGGATTCAACATATCTTGAAATGAAGCACAAGGTTGGTCAAATGAAAGTCGTCAACAATTGCGCGGAACGAGGCATAGCACTTTAACCCTTAACTCAAGCGTTACGAAAGATGAAAACCAAAAGCAGTTTCTTCTTAGATTGGTTGATCTTCACCGGAAAGAATTTCCAGTTGCATCAAAGTCTACCCTGATGAAGATGACTGTTGAATGATGAAGATGATTGATTTATTATTGCCTAGTGCAATTACATAGTAGTACTATAGTATTGATTTTTTTAACATTGAACATCCACAATCCACCACATAATAATAAGAAATTGATAATAAATAATTCAGTAATATAATATAAAAAATGTAAAAATAAAAAATATTTTTTTTACTTTTTGTAACCTTATACCAAAATGTGACAAAACATGGCAACCCCTAAATATCATCCGATTTGATTCAAATTTTGGCCAATAACTACTATTGTCATATAGAACAAGGGCAAGCTTGAGGACAACTAAAGTTTTGAACCTACAAATTTTGCATCACCCTAATATATATATATATATATATATATATATATATATATATATATATATATATATATATATATATATATATATATATATATATATATATACTAAAACCTTGTTTCAAAACTAACTATTTAATAAAAAAACCTGGACACTTGAAATCCATGCACACATCGACACGTTTCACATTTTGTTTAGAAGATGACAATCTTGCTAAGTAACTATATTTATAACCGAGTCCACATGTTTTACTACATTCACTCCATATGCTCCATTCTCCTGAATAAAATACTATATATATATATATATATATATATATATATATATATATATATATATATATATATATATATATATATATATATATATATATATATATATATATATATATATATATATATATATATATATGATATATATATATATATTTATATACATATATATATATATATATATATATATATATATATATATTTATATATATATATATATATATATTATATATATATATATATATATATATATATATATATATACATATATATATATATATATATATATATATATATATATATATATATATATATATATATATATATATATATATATATATATATATATATATATATATATATATATATATATATATATATATATATATATATATATGTATATATATATATATATATAAAGGAAGTGTAAATTGTAATGGTTTAAAAAAGTTATTTTATTAAGAGCATTTGAAAAAAAAACCCTTTATATTTAGTTTAACTCATTATTTTTAAAATTAAAATAACAATTAAATAAAATAATAAATAAAAAAATAATGAGAATATAAGATTAGTGAAAATAAAATTTTAGTTGGGCAAACTGACACTTGCGTAAATTTAATAATCATTATTTTTAAGTTAATCTTCTTTTTGTTTAACAATACACTAGCAGTTATTATATATTTATACTTCAACTTCGTAAGAAAGTTAAACGATTATTTAAAATTTTTTTTTAAAATAATAACCAAGAGTTAAAATATTATTAATACTATTATCACAGTTTTTATTTTTTGAACAGACAAATAGAACTTAGTAAGTTAATCATTTTTGTGGATTATAAACTGAAAGTTTTTTCTTAAAAAACTCTTATCTCATTTAAATGTAATTTCTCATTTAAAATCTATTTTTTTGTTTCTCTTTAGCGACTACTTCTCATTTAGCATTATTTTTAATTTTTCACTAAAGCAAATCATTTGTTTTAGCATATCAATTTTTTTAGAAGTAATAAATAAATTATCTTAAAATTAGGATTTCACTTTTTACTTTTTTAAATTGATAAATTAACTAAATTTCTTATTTTGATCTGAGAAAAAAGATTGGTAAACTACTAATATTGAGAAAATATTGAGTATACATATATATACATATATATATATTTTTTGTATTTAGGTGCTCCCAGAAGTCCTTACGGTCTTATCATAGAGCACCGCAGAGAGCATTTAACAGGAAGTTCACGCCTCCTTCCGTACCAATGTCGCTTGTTTGGCTGGAGCTGGCGTCGAACCTCGGACCTCTGGGTTCTGAGCCAGAACTTTAACCACTGCGCCAAGGCTGCTCAAAAATTATATATATATATATATATATATATATATATATATATATATATATATATATATATATATATATATATATATATATATATATATATATATATATATATATATATATATATATATATATATATATATATATTTATAGACAGAGCATTATTGCACTATTGAAAGTGCAACAAATGCAATTGCACTGGGTTGCCTATATTTATGGGGCACCAACAGGGCTGTCTCAAATGGGGGAGTCCTACCCCTTTCCAAAGCTGTTATAAATGAATTTGAGTTAGCACATTTGTACATTTAGCATTTGAGTCGGCAAGTTTTGAAGTATAGTTGGCAAATATCAATTGAGGACCATTTTTGTTTTTGTTAGTGTCTCTAGTTAGCAAAAAATGCATACACCCATGTGGGACCTCTTCGGGACGACCCTGGGCTCCAAATATTAATTTTTGCTCATTTATAGTTATTAATTTTTTTTATTATATTATTATATAAATATTAATTTAAATTAATAATAAATTTATAATTTTTAATTTTTATTATTTTAATATTATAATAATAAAAATTAATAATTATAAATGAGCGTTTTAATTTTGTGCTTTGTTGGTGTTATATTTTTCACAACAAAATGTAACACCAACAAAACACAAAACTAAAACGAAGCATTAACTGCAAACCAGAACAACATTTTAAAAGAATAATTAATCTTTAAATAGAAGATTAAATTTCAGCCAATTGCTTCAGCAAATAGAATGACAAATAACATTGAATTACAACATACAAGGGCTATGTTTTACTGCTTGATGATTTCAAAAACAATTTTGAACAGGTTATAAAAGAAGCACAAAAAACACAAACAGCATTGGTAGAAATAAGTGTTATAGCGCAGTTTACTGAACTTCTTGTGATACTCAAATATTAATAAGTAGAAACAAAGAGTGTCTTGATAAATCACCACCTAGTTTACCCTTACCAAAATGAAGAGTTTTGATTTCAATCTCAAGAGATGGACGATATTGATGATATACTAAATAAGAAAAGTAAACGGATGAAGAAACTAAACCAGTTGAATGCTGTGATGATATTGATATAAGTGAGCTCGTTTCTAAAATTGATGATGAGTGACTTTCTAACTCTCTTGAAGATAAGATTTAAACAATCTTATTTTAATAAATTGATTGATATAGTAAAAGATTTATTGCATGACTTGAATTGTATAATTTTTTGAATCAAGTTTTCAGTTTTCTTTTCAATAATAAAAAGCTAAAGTTTATGAACACAAATGAATTCAATACTAATTGTACAAACCTGGTCAAACACTTGAAAGATGATGTTGAAGTGGTGGAATTTAAAATATCTTTAATTGTAAAGTAAAGTTTGTGTCTTTAATTTTAATTTTTAATTTTTTTAAGTTTTTCTTCAAAAGCAAGAGCAAGTTATACATTAGGCATATCACTTTAAAACTTTTTAAATAAAAATTGATTTCTTGGGGTTTTAGCAAATGAACTTTTATATGTAGATTGCATTTAATATTCCTTTTGTGAAAAATTATGAAAAAAAGTGGCGCACCCATAAGCATCTTTTAATGATGTCACTATTCAATATAAAACTTTAAACAAATGGCATTATATAATTATATTGCGCTAAATGTAAGCAATGTTTTATACATTTAATGTTAGCCTCTTATTGCTAATTAAAGCTAAATATAGTTTTAACAATCTGCCTTTAATCAATAAACTTACACTTTCGAAATTTCATTTTAAAAGTAGAGTTTCTAGTAATTTGATTTTATAAACTTCGATTTTTCTCATCTGTAGGGATGGCAATCCTGGGATCCCTGGATCCCAAAATCCCGGGATTTTGTAAAAAATGTTCATTCGGAAATCCCGGGATTAGTCTCTGAAATTTCCCGGGATTTCGGGATTGTCAAAAAAAAGGAAAGGTTAATAAAGTTTAAGCTTATAATTGCAGTTTAGTAATTTTTATATCGTCTTTGGTATAGTAGCTGTTAGGTTGTGTAATCATTTATTATCTTTGCAATGTTTTCTTTTTAAAACTCTTATTTTTTGGTATTTTACTAAAAAAAAAAACTCAAAACATTATTGCTTGTCTGTAAAATGTATATATGTTTATATATATATATATATATATATATATATATATATATATATATATATATATATATATATATATATATATATATATATATATATATATATATATATATATATATAAAATTAAAATTAAAAATATATAATAAAATAAAATTTTATTATATATGTTTAAGCGCTTGCTGCAAGAGTTTTTAACAGAAGGTATACATTAATTTAATTTTGAATTTTTTGCTTCCAAAAGTATGCACGATTTTAATTCCAGTTTTATATCCATTCATTTTAATTTTCAAATGTGTGATTTATGAAAGTTTTTTTTTAACGTCATACATATTTATATTATTTTTTAATTTTAATTTTTATTTATACTGTGTTACCATTTTAAGGTATTGTTTTATATAATCCTTATAATACTTATAAATTATCATTAAATTAATCATTTTTAAGTGTTTGATAAGTGCTTAAAAAGTATTCAATTGCATTTCCGTTTTTTTCTATTCAATCCCGGGATTTCCTGTGGACAAATTTCTCAATCCCGAAATCCCAGGATTGAAAATTTTTGGGTTTTTAGCCATCCCTACTCATCTGCTTTTGACTAATTGCTTTGTTGTTTTATTGTAGAAGTTATTTTGACAGAAAAAGTTTAGATTTCATTTAGTTCATCAAAGACATGTCAAAACTATCACGTAACCTAGTTAATAAAAGCTCCAATGTATGGCAACAGAATATAAAAAGCAAAGTTGTCAGGCATTCAGAAATACCTTTGCGAGTTACTGAATTAAATGAACTCTGCAAAATGCCTCTTAAAAGCGACATTGTTGGGCGTTTTTTGGGATTACATGATAAAATGGTAAGATTACATGATAAAATAAAAGGATTCCATTATTTTGACTGCTCTTTCAGCCACAATGTTTGATTGTGGCATTTCAGCCACAATCAAACATTGTGGCTGAAAGAGCAGTAAAAATAATGGAAGACATTTACACTACCTGCAAAAGTGAAAAGTACTTTAATGCTAAGTTCTTAAACTCAAATTTACAATTGTGAACACTCAACAGTGACTAAAGTATCAATAAATAATCTTATTAAACATTAATATAAAAAATGTGTATACATTAATATATATGTATGTTTATATTACTTTTCTTTTAAATCAGTAGAAATATACTATAGCTTCACATTCTTTTAAAGATATTTTTAACATTTGGCAAAATTTATATGTACTATAAAACGGATTATGTATATATTTGCTTATCTATAAACACAAACAATATTTAAACAAGCTCGGTGATAAGACAGTTTATGTCATCTTCTTACTCCGGCCTAAATTTATATATGTAGTATGTATTTATTGTAAACTTATCAATGGCCAACTTTTAAACAGGTAAAATTTTTTCAATCAAAAAAAAAAAAAAAATAGATAGTTTGCATAACTTCGATTTTGAAACAAATGAAAAACTTTTTTATTTTTTCTAATTACAAGTAACACAGAAAAAGTTGAAAAAGAATACAACAACAAATGTACACTGGAAAAGTGTGGCTTCAATTAAGTTCAAAATAAAAAGGTA